GGTGGAACAGATGCATTGCTTTTGAAAAGCAAAACAGCATGATCCGGTGTCCTGGAGTGTGAACACGGATCTCAGAATGGTGACGTTAAAAATAGAAAATCAGCTCTGGAGAAACTGATGAAAAGGAGACTAATAGTGGATGTAGAGATTAATTATCTGAATCATTGGTGTCCTTAGTCACAGATGGTTAGACTGGAGTCTTGGGATGATTCTGAATTTCTAAACTGATATTTGTAAAAATTGGTTGGCATTACAGTTCCTTAAATGGCTGGGCAGCCCCCTCTTCAGTGCTCTGATAGCATCCCTTGTTGGAATTACCCTTCTCCACCTTCCTGTTCCCCAGTTCCTAGCATAGATCTTGGTCCAGAAAGGCTTTAAACTGTACACTGTGCTAACAGTCAGAAGCCTACTCTTGTAAGAGATGAAAGTTATTTACATTCTTGGTTAAACAACTGCCTGGAAACATGTTTGATCAAGACTCACAGAGATACAAGAGGAAGCTTAACAAGGCTTTTGCTGCTCTATGCCCAATGCGTTTTAACACAGTCCGGCAGTTTTATTCCAGAACTCCTCAGCCAATCTGTATCAGGTTTTTTAAAGCAGTAACTTAAACTTCTCCATTCAGTGAAATGTCCTGGTCCTACTCCCATTAGAATAAGACTATCCAGCCTGTCCAATTTTTTTTAGTAGTATCCAAACAGAATTAAAACTCTCTCTTATTGCGCACAATTTAGGCATTTTATTCTGGAATGATTTAACATTATGGTCCTGCTCCAGATGACTGCCTTCAGATACGTTTAATTCAATTGGCTCAGCTTAGCACATGTGAGAGAAGACCTGTTTATGCTGTGACAAGGAATCTTTGTATTATGACAACTGTTCACTGACAGAGCAAGTGGTGACTTCTTATCTTTCTATTTTCTTTGAGAAGACTGGTACCTTGTGCTTGCTAAGATCCTTTTGTAACTGCTGCACATAAACTACTCAGCTTTCCTCTCAACGAGGCTAGTTTGACATGCCTACCAGGGATTGAACCATAGTGCCTTTGAACACCCTGATTTGTTATTGGATCTTTTTCCTCTCCCGTCCTTGTTTCCCTCTGCTCTCCCTCCTTCCTACTTGATGTGATCCTGTGGTTAAAAACTTGCATGCTGTTCTCATTTGAAAAACATGCACTCAGTTTATTTTCTACAGAAATGTGACCAACAGTTGTAAAAGCCAAACATGAAAAACATGAAAGAAAACAGTATCTCGGGCTTTTTCTTGCAGATCTGTCTAGATTCTGCCTCTAGCCTGTGTTGCTAATTGTATGTCTGTACCTCCACCCTCTGAGCCGCCATATGCACAAATGTGGCCTAATACAAGTGTTGATGCACAACTGTAAAATGTCTTGATTCGCTGCCAAGTGCTGCACACATCTAAGGGAAGAGGCCCTGGGAAAGTAATTGGTCATAAATATGTATGATTTCTCTGTGTGGAGATGGCTATGTACATTAAAACATCTCTACATATAGATAAAACAGATAAAATACAAGCCAGGATGGGCAGTGACAATATGTCATGCCATTAGTGGCCTGAGAGTAAACACAAAGAAAAGGAGAAAGAGAATGAAGCAAGCATGAATGCAACCTCGGAACAAGAGTTTGAAAATACTGCATTTATGGCCTATTGAATGGTAGCTTAAGAAACCCCTCACAGTCCAGTTTTAGTTTTGGATAAACATTTTTTCAGTTTCTATTGTTATGTGGAACACTCAGGATTACTGGAGTGAAAAAGAGTTCTGACTTTTTGTTTGCGTTTTTTGGTGCATTTACTAAGACTTTGTGAGCCATCAGTCAGTTTTTCCAATTTTTGTGGAAACAGAGGAAAGAAAAACATACAGGAAAATAATCTTCAAACCATTACAAGTTGGCAGGAGAACTTGAATTCCTAATTATTTAATGGAAGATATTACAGTAACACTTCTGAAAATTTAGAACGTGTCTTAGAGGAGGATTCTCAGGCTGGATTTTTCTTCCCCTCCCCCAGTACAACCAGTACAGTCTTATTTCTCGAGTTTTAATGCCAGGTAAATAAGGTGGTTTTCAAACTGAGGAAAAAAAAAATTTAGTAGTATGTGCAAGGATGAAGTTAGAAAAGCACACAGGCAAGATGGAGATAAACACAGCTCGTTACAAGTTGTTTTATGTACACAATTAACAAATCAGATGGCATTCTCTGAGCAATTCTTTGCATCTGTTAATCCCCTCATCCAGTTCCTTACATGAATAGTCTGTCTGTTCATCAGACAAGTTCAATTTGAAGATGGCCACGGTTCTGATCTTAAGGGTGGGTGTAGAGCCTGAGGAGTGACTTTGAATGAAAAAATGCCATCATGCTGCCAGCATCCTCCATGAAAAGGGTACAGCCTTCAACAGGGGCTGTGGGAAGGGAGGACAGAAATACTTGTCTAAAACCAGTGCTACTCAAATGTGTATTTTCCTGATCAAAATAACATGTAATATTACAAATGGCAGAGATTCTTTTCTTGACTCTCATTAATTAAAGAGCATAATTTTATTTTTGTGGGAATACTTCAGTGTCGTTTGAAAACCCTTTGCTTGTTGAAAATTATGTAGAATGTTGTTCAAAACAGAGGCTTGCAGCCAATGTTTTTCTAGATCTGTAAGTATGAAGATAAATATTAAAAAGTGTGTACATTGTCCTGTATCAAAAGGGCTATTTTCCAGATATATCCTTCACAAGTTTTGATGAAAACTCAGTTTACACAGCCTTGTCCTTAGGTTGTCCAGTTACATTTAATGTCACAGGTTCTTTTCAGGTGTGTGACTTAAAACACACATGAGAAGGAATGACTTAACTTTCAAAATGGAAATTGTCAAGTCATGCCTCAATGACTTCTTTTTCCCCTGCCACTCTTATGTCGACTGATAAAGTTCCTACTAGAGTGCTAGTGGTTCCTCACTCCCAACTTAATTCTTTGAGGAATACTCTGATCTCCTGACTCATCTGGCCAAGCTCAGGCTTTTAGTTTGTTATGAAGATACAGTTTTTTCAGTACGATTCAAACATAATGCATTTTTTTTTCCTTTTTTAAAATAAGTTTAAACCAATTCATTTTGAACTCACTGTCTCCAGGTGTCCTGGCTTGCCTGGATGGGTATATGAACATAGCTCTGGAACAGACTGAAGAATATGTAAACGGACAATTAAAGAACAAGTACGGGGACGCATTCATCCGAGGAAATAATGGTAACTCCTCCTCCCTGTGTTATTGCTCTTTAGAAGATGTTTGATATTTATTTCTGAATTTGAGGCGTGGCTGATGTACAGGCAAGCTGCCTGCGAGAACTTGAGTTTCAGGCTTTCTTGGAAGCCTTCGTGTATTTACTTTTTACAGTGCCACTTTTCAGTGTCTGTGCTTCTCCTCATTGTGCCTTTTTTGCCTCTGAACTTTAAGTTCATTTACAGAAGCAGGCTCTTTTCTGTCCTTCCTTAGAGCTTGTTCCCTGTAATTTGACAGGTTTATCCGTTGGCACTTGCTGCCTGCCTAGATGGCCTCTGCTCCAGAGAAGTTTGTGTTTGGCAAACTACTGCGGGCATTTATGATTACAGATATATTAATGGCACTCTAGTATTTTCTTGTGATGTGATTTTCCAGACCTCAATCAATGCTGTTCATTAGTACTGGAGGCTATTTTTGTCTTCGAGTAAAGATTTTACCTCCAGTCAAGAAAATCACTTGCACTTTACTGTTGAGTCTTTGAGTATCTCAGTGCAGTGGGTGGATTTTACTGCACATCAAAGACAATTAGCATCCTGCCCCACTGCGGGACAGATTTGCTTTTTATCATAGGTTGATGAGTATCCCAAGTTCCTAAAAATGCCTCTGTGGTGTTATTTACCAAGGCCCTCTTACATGTGCTGCTTTCTCCTTTTCACAGTATTGTACATAAGCACACAGAAGAGGAGGATGTGAAGATGCCACAATTGCGTTTTGTACTTGGGAACCTCTTTGAAGTGATGAGCCCTATTTGATTTGTAGTTAATAATCCACAGGTGAACACAAACCTATTTAAAAAAAATTTTTTTTTATAAATGTAAACCAGTGTAAATTTCCTGAATGTTTTTGTTTCAAAGCATTGCTTTGTTGCACTGTACAGAAAAAAATAAAGCATTAATAGTGCTGCAAGACTAATTCAAAGCAACAGCTCTTTGAATTACGTTGACAGTTAGAGAAATACTGATTGGAAGGTAAGCAGACATGGAGTAATTGCAAATCACAGCCTTGTATTGATGGCAAAACAATAGTTTGATGTTGGGAAGGGAAGAGCGAATGTTCTGGTAACAATGACCTGTCCCTTTTGGAAAACACAGGGTCAGCTTTAAATGCCAATCTAGTAAGAGTCATCAAGTTCAGCTGCCCAAAAAATCTTGAATTGGGGATTGAATCAAGGGAAGAGGCAGTGATACTTCAACAATTAGGGGTGGGGAAAGAATTGAATGACATGGGAGAAAAGCCCTAAGGGTAAAATAAAGTTCTGTGCCAGCTGAGGAAGTCAGGCACAGGTGCAAAGCTCTCAGTTGGTATGCCAAAACAGCAGGGAGCAGCTTTATAGAATCACAGAATGGTTTGGGTTGGAACAGATCTTAAAGACCATCCAGTTCCACCCCCTGCCATGGGCAGGGACACCTCCCACTAGGCCAGGTTGGTCAAAGCCTCATCCAGCCTGCCTCTGTACCCCCCACCGTACCTCAGCTTGCAGTTACCTTTTTTTCCCTTCAGTCTCTACCAAACACAAAGGACTTATTCAATAAAAAGCAATCTTAAGTAATAGCTAAAGCTACTCCTGAAAACAAATGAAGAGTCTAAAAGCTTTTGTAAGCATGCCAGTATGTATCCTGGTCAGACAGTTTACTCTTTCTGCCATCCACTTCCCCCCAACCTAGTTCCATCTTTTATATAAAGACTCTATCTTCATGTGCTAGACAGAAATGAGAACAAATACATGAAGCTTATAGTGTGGGGTATGCATCAGGGAAGGGGAACCTCTGTGCAGGCAACAGAGTCAGACCTTGCTTGTTTATATTTTGCAACAATGTTCCTAGGTCATCAAAGCCCAGTGAGTAAATCCAGCTTACACCAATTTATAAAATACCTTTTCTCCTTTTATGTGCAGTCAGCCAAGAAAAAAACACCAAACAAACTGTGAACGTTCATATATTTCTTAGTCTGACTTACTGCACTTAACATGCAGATATTCAGAATGCTTTCTTGTTCCTCAGGACAAAGTTAGAAGTTAGGGTAATGCGCCTGATGGTGAGGTTATTTAGCCAATTCTTTTAAATGAGGTTTTTGAAGCCCTGCTTTATTCTTTGGGCAGTTTATAGTGCCTCGAGGAACAAAAATACTTGTAGTTGTAGATGGATGAACACAAGACAATTGCGTGCACATAACACTGGCCTATTCTTTCCAAGTACCAGTAGCTCTAATGCAAGCAGAACATTTCAGTTATCCAAGGGAGAGAATGTGTGGGCTACAATTTTTAATTATTTTTTAAAGATCAAGAAATAATTCTAAATTATTTTGCCATCAGTAGTTAACCTTTCCCCATTAAACACATCAGAAGCTGCTACAGAACACACACAAATAGAGATGCTACTTTATGAAATGCTTCAATAATTTATAATTTTCTGACAAGGGTTGGAAAGGGTCCAGGATGTAAGTACAAATCACCAACTTGCTCTTCAGTGACTTCTTTTAAAAGAAAAGAAGTATGTACCTCTAAGTGGTGCATGCAGTTTCATTTGTTTTGTCATCTATATACAGCTGGCAGGTTACCCTGTGCTTTCATTCCTGGAGACTGTCTGGGTCTTTTTTTTTTAAATATTAATATGGGGTTAGTTTTTTTCCTCTTCCTTCTCCCCATATACGAACACATTTTGCAAAGACTTTGACTTACGCTCAAGAGTTTGCGTTGATAACTTTTTAATTGCAGTTCTATTCCTACAAGTCTAGTTCTAGAACATTTTTTTAGCTGTGATCCACTACTTCAAATGGTCTAATCACATATTAAACTCTGAACGTGGAAAATACTACATGGCTTAAACGCCAAGGGTTTTTACTGTATTCTAGATCATGAAATCACTATTTACATTGTAAGACAGATGAGAAAATTTGCATTAAAGAGGAGCTGTTGTAATCCATATTCAAATTTCAAAAGTAACTAAAGAAATTAAAACATTGATGTTCCACAATCACTGACCTTTGTGTACATTTTACAAGATTTTTTCCCCTTAATTCAATTTTCCTCCTCTGTGTTTAAATCAAGTGAACATTTAAGCTTGACTTCAATTAGGCAGCCCAGTGTTTGAATGTAGTTTGCTTTGAGTTAGAGAAAACATTTATCTTGGATTTATTTTACGTATCTTTACATTTTGTTTTGGTTTATTCTGTATGACAACATACATACCAGTTGCAAGTAAAGCAGACGCTGGCCAGACAGCTTTCAGAGCAGTGCACAGAACGCTATCCAAGGTTTAACGTGAGCCATCCTATTAGATATGTCAGTAAATATCAAAGCACAATGGTGTATTTCACAAACTCTTGATGCTTAAAAATGACTCAGCCTAAAGAGATCCTGATCCCCTTGGGAGATACAAATACACCCTTACAAGTGCAATATATATTCACACACAAAAGCCAGTGTTAGATACTGATGCTCACGTCCTTCGTGTTACCTCATTCACCACATCCTAATGCTCTTGCCCCAGTTCCTGGGTATACAGCAGCGTTACTAGCAGACCAAGCTCACACAGGCAAGGACTGACAATGAAACACTCCCTGAGCAACTTACAAGCGCTCGTCCCTCACTTCTCTCAGAAGAACACACCCAAATTAAGTAGTCCAAAATCCCAAACTAACAAACAAAAGACGAAAGCTGCATTCACGTACATAGTACCTTCATGTGATGAGCTCCCTGCAGGAAACCAAGGCCATTCAACCACTGCTCCCTCCACCTCCTTCCATGCTCTCAGTTCACAGCCAGACTCCCGAAAGAGCTGTTAACTCTGCATTTGCTACATCCCCACACCCAGGGGGAGTTTCTTGCCCTTGAAAAGCCAAACTGAACCACATCTCCTCAAACAACAACCCAGCTGGGAACAGCAGCGCAGCATAGCCTGTGGAAACCAGAGAAATCAAGGCTGGAAGAAGGAGGTAAGTACTCACCAGAGGGAGCAGCCAGCAGCCACCTGGAGTGCCCCAATATATAGGGAGCAGGGCATGGTGGGAAAGGGCTGCTTTAAAGGCATACACCCGTGGCCACCCAGTTCTGCAATTTGGTGCCACCTGGTTCCTAGTCCACTGGTGGCCACCCAGTTCTGCAATTTGCTGCCTAGTTCAAAGGGAATCTAATGTAAGCCCCTGGACATTATTTATTTGAGTTCTTTCCATCTTTTTCATGATGTTACAAGGACAAAACAGCTCCCTGGAGTCCTGCTGGGTGGAACGTGCCCCTGGAGCCCGAAGGCTCACACCCATCGCCCCACAGCTGCAGGTTTCAGCTGTATTGATCACAGCAGTCAAGCAAGTGTGAAAGCTTGCAAAGTGCTGGCTTTTGAATGTTTGCCTGATGGTACCAAAGCAATGCCTGTTCTTTAACATGACAGCGCAGTGTCGGTTTTGAAAGCAAACTGTGGAGCCAGCTGTTTCAAAGTCTCTGTTTCCTGTGCTGAGGATTTCTCCTTGGATTTCTCCAAGGCTGAGAAATCGGACAGGAGGAGGCTTTTCCTGACCTGCCGTGAAGGACCATTGCACGTTTAGGCATCAGTGCCCCACACAGCAGCATCAGGCTCAGCTGTCAGGTCTCTGTGTTGTGCTGCACGTGGACCCCGTGGCCGCCGGACACCTCCGCTAGTCCATGGGTATGGAGGAGCCCGGGGCGGCTCCCACGCAGCGCTGCGACTGCACCACCTGCCTGGCCTTGCCTTTATCTAACAGCGCGGCAAACCGTTCTCATGAGAACAGCCTTTAGAAAGAGGAGTGTCTTCTTGTAAGGAAATTATAAAACGGCTCAAGTGACGAAAAGGGAGAGCTGCTCTCCACGGACAGGGTCGGAGTGTGCCATGGGAAAAGCCATCTGGGCTCTGGCCGATGCTACACAGATGCGGAGTGCCCAGCATCTGAAGGGATTTACATTTCACTTGCTGTCTGCATTCCTCTGCTTGTTCTGACTTAGTAAAGCAGTTATCAAACTATTTGTTGCCAGACCTTTCTTACCAAAAGCCAGAGAGCCCTTCACTGTCTCTCTCTCTCCTCAACCCTCTCTCCCCATGCAGAACAGCTGCCCAGGTTGCAGTAGTTACCAAATCAAGTGGATTTCTTTTTTTTTGTTGTTGTTGTTTTACGCTGAATTTGTAAGGGAAGGAGGCTCAGGAGGCTGCATAATATGTTGTGTGTGTGTTGGTTCATTCCCAGCAGTAGCATTTGAATCCACTGCTGAACTTCAGTTAGCAAGACAGCAAAAATAGTCAAGAGGATAGAAATGGAAGGACTTGCCAGTACTTTTGCTGTAGGTGTCAGGGAAGCATCCCCTTTTCCCTGCCCTCCCCAAACACAGAGCCACAGGCGTGCGCCTCTCAACCCTGAGATGGCAGTTTGTAGGCGTTATTCTTCATCCTCCCTGTGGGATTAGTGTGGGTTTTTACCACTCTCCTACAGTTGGCCATTGCTCTCAGTTTTAAAGATGACCTGAAATATTCTTAAATAAGAATAATTCTTAATATTCTTATAAGCTTCCAGCTTTGTTGGTTTAATGATTGGTTCCTTGTGATGTGGACCCAGCTCACTCTTGCCACCTTCAAGCTCTCTGTTGGACCAACCTACCCACCCTTCTCTAACTCCCCAAAACTTTGTTCACAGGACTGAGGTGGTTGCTAGCTGACCAGGAAGGACTTCTAACTCGTTATAACCCTGACTATCATGCGGTAGCAAAGCATTTCTCAACCTGACAATAAAGCAACCAGCTTGCTCTTGAGTGCCAGCTCTGGGTTCCTGACATCCATGCCCATTTTACATACTGATCTCCACTGTACCTGCTCCACGTCTGCTGTCCTTGTCTGGCCCGACAATATGGAGATTTAGAAGCAATCTACAAGGAGAAAGTTTCTGCATCAAGGAGCCTGGTATGTCACTGG